GTCTTGCACTGTACTATCTACATACCTGACAATCTTAGCATAATAAATTTTCAACTGTATTTCTGAAGCTATTTGCTTTCAAAATGAGCTTAAACTTCATTTACTTTCAGTTAATTACAAATGTAATACACCCAATTTATTTCATTTTATGAAATATGTAATATATTAAAATTTGCTTTTAAAGCAATAGATGCAGTTAGGTATAAATATTTTGGTGGGGAATAACAAAAGAATTAATTTCATTGCAGGATAAATGATTATGATAAAATAGTACAAATTTCTAATCAGTTTATTCTGCTCTTTCTTAGCACTACTAGTTTACAATAATAGTATGTTTATAACAAAAGGATCTAAACAATGAACATATATTAAAAATCTTAAACTTGATAGCCTAACAAGCTTCCTTTTCCAATGCATTCTCCTATGCAGAAGCAGAAATATATTTCAAGCCCAATTAATGTGTTCAGCCAACCTTCCTGAAAAACAGAAAAAATTAATGAAGTCAAACATGAGATAAATTTTTGTTATGAAAATTTTACATAAATAATTAAAATTATGCATTGTGAAAAAGTACTAAAATTCCATTAAAAATTAGCTCATATTTCTAATATATTTTTTGAGCACCTGCCCAATTTTTTAATTTAAAAAAAAGTTTAATAAATTTCTTGAATTAGTAACAAATTAGTTCCATACTATAGTTAATGTAATCATAAGGTCAGTGCAGCCCCACTGGGCAGCAATACTTTTAAAATTCAGAGAAATAACAAATAGCAAAATTTTTAGAATTTAGGGAAACGCAAGGAACAGATTTTAGGATCCGCAACAACTGTACTGGGCAGCAAAAATTTTTAGTGCTGGCCTTGTGTGGTCATAGCATGAAATTGATGCAAGGTTAAGAGGAATTATTTTCACAGCTTCACATTATCTAGATAAGTTAACTAATGGTTAAACTCAGGTTTCTTTAAGTTGTTTAAGCATTTAGCACTCATTTGTCAACCTCACTGTTATAATAAAAATAAGAGTGTACAGTACAAATAATTGACCACAGTTCAGAGTACTCATTTAATTTTTAGCTTATCACACTTTTTAAAAGAAATACTTAACAATGCACAAATGCAGGATGCAGCAGTGTTGACACAGGGCTCCTAATGGAATTTAACTTTCATTTCTCTAACAACATGAAATAATTTTCTTGATCAAACATGATGGAAAAGTTAATAAATTAATTAACTTTTCCAACATGTTAACTAACTTTTTATTGAATAATTTTAAGCATTTAGCACAAAGCAAAATAAAAAAAATAATAAATAAAAAAAAACTCGGTGCAAACATTTTCATTTTTAGTTTATACTTTTCTTTATATAGAAACATAAATTCTTCTTGAGTTACCAAGATCTGTTTTTCATGTTACACAAGTTTTATAACTGCTATGCCAAGAATTTCCAGTAAAAAGTCAACTGAAATCTATTCAGCCTCAACGACTTTTCTGTCACTTTCTTTACTATCGATGTCAATATTCTCTGGATTTAAAACCAGTGCTGTGGAGTCGGGAGTCATGGAGTTGGAGATATTTTTGGGTAAAAGGAGTCGCAGCTGGAGTTGCTAAAATCAAGTCGACTCTGATTCCAGTTTTTGTTGGACAGTTTGAATTTGAAATGAAATTAAAGTGAATTGAAAATAAATAAATAAATAATGACAAACTGAATTCATGTTTTTATTTATGGATTATATACATTTAAAAACAGTCATTTCCTAGTTTATTGACATATTAATAAATAAATATAAGGGAGCAGGATGGATGTAATATTTGCTTATTTGCTATTATTGATTAAACTGATTTAGTTACAAATCCCATTAGTAAATTTCGTTAAGCAGCAATAGCAGCAAGAACTCCCAAAATTGAGGCCATTCTCAGGAAGCGAGCACGAAAAGGAGCTATTATTGATCAAGCAACGCAGTGGGGCAGTACATATTTGATGATATGGAGGTTGTCAGAATTAAGAACTTTTTTAGAAGATGTAGATAACCCTAAAGTTTCACTAACAGAAAGACCGTGGAATGATCTTGCAGAATTGGAAACTCTTCTTTCTATACTGTATACATCCACAAAAAAGCTACAATCTGAAGAATTAACAGGAGGCAAGAATGGAAGATGTGATGTTTGTTCTTTCTGAAATGGAGGGTTTATTGCAGAAAGAATCATTTCTTCAATGAAGAAAAGAAAAACTAGTTTGCTAGACAATGAGGTCTTGCTGGGTTTAATATATGTAGATCCTAAACACCGAATTTTGTTGGATGATGAAGAAATTAAAAAGGCAAAGAAAGCTATCTATCAACTTCCATTAAGAAAAATTATTCTTCAGAACAATTGAAGAATTTGAATCAAGACAATCAATTTGCAAACATTGCAATTGAGTCTCTATCATGCGCTTCCAGTGATGAATTAGATTTTGAGAAATATTTTTGGATAATATTAAAAAGGCCAAGGCAAAGCAAATGGAAATAAAGAACCAAGAGGTTTTAGATATAAAAATAGAAAATACAAATAAGATTTCTACAGCAGTCCTTGAAGAAATCGAGAAATATGATTACGCTTGCAAGACACCTCTGTTAGAACTTATGAAAATCTATCCTCAAAAGTTAAGGAAGTAGCCCTAACAGTAACAGCGCTTCCTCCTACTCAAGTTCAGATGTGGAAATGACTCTTCTCAGATCTGAAGTTTACCAAATCGGATCTATGGTCCTCTAACAAAAAGGATCTTGCCGAAGTTCTTAGAAATTACTAATGCCAGTTTTTGCATTTCATAATAAATGCTAATTAATATAAAAAATTTGCTATGCATAAAATTTTTTGTAGCATCTATTACTTTTTTTTATACAGTCAAAAGTCGTTAATTCGGACACCCATAATCCAGAATGATCTATAATCCGGACCTCAAAGCTAAAAACTTTCTGCGCATGCGCCGCGTTGACACACGCGAATAGGCGTTTACGTGTGCGCGCAAGACCTTTTATGTCTGTGCATATGCGTGTGCGCAAGTGCAGAATACGTTTTCGCGTGCGCGTTTTATGTATAACGGGCGGTATAAGCTAAAATTATCTAATTATCTATTTCAGTTAATGTTGATGATTGTGTTATTCCTTAATCTTCGAATTGGATCCGGCTTACTATTTTTTGAAGACTGTAAGAGCAATTTTATAAAAGTAAACTTGAACTTTCGATTATGTCAAATAGAATTTGCGATGCTGGAGCTCCCAAAGGATTACAAAACGAAAATATGTTTCGATGTCCATCAAACAAAAAGGGGAATTGCTGCAAAAAATGGATAAAGACATGAAGAAGGTGACAGAGAGGTTAGTGAAAACGAAAAAATTTCGATTGACAAGTTAGTCGGAATGCTCGGCAAACAGCAATTACAAGACTTGAACAAGCGGAACTTTGTAACTGAAACAAGAGATTATGTCTGTCTATAGAATTAAAAAGAAAGTATTATCACAAAAAACAAAGCAACTTAAACAACTTACATTGAAACGAAATGTTTAACAAAGGTAAACAAATAAATATTAAGCTTTTTTTTTGTAATTTTGATACCCTTTAGATCATAAATATTTCATTATTTCATAAATTCCCGGATTTCATATTTTTAATTTTATAATTTTCTACATGCCATCTTACTAGATTGAAACTGATGATCAATATCCGGAAAAATCCCAAATCCGGAATCGCCGAAGACCCGACGAGTCCGGAATAACGACTTTTGACTGTATTGAAAAAGTAAGCTGTAACTCGTAACCCATCTGTATATGTTTACATATATATGAGTGATTCGGAGTCAATTCCAGGAGTCGGAGTTGGTCATCTCTACTGATTCCACAGCCCTGTTTAAAACCATACTACAGATTTTGCCATTTGTTGATTTATTGATGACTGGAACATTTTCAATAAGATGAAGACATTAGATAATCTTTCATAATCATTATATCCTCTTCATTTAGTATTTATTTGCATTTCTTCACAATTAATATTTCATAAATTGGAAAAATTGACTTTTTGTTAAAGCTATTCCATTGAGCAATTTGTTCTGTTTTGGCATAGTTTCTCAGCATAAATACAATAAGTTTTTTTTGGCTTCTTTGCTGATGCAATCATATTTTTCATCTAATTAATAGTTTTGTCCTCTTTTTCTTCCAAATCACAAAAAATAAATACTTTTCTCATGATTTGGAATTTGCCAAAAATGAACAAGCAGATACCTTACTTCCTCAAGAGGTATGTAAAAAGCAAAATTGAGTTTGCATAACCTTCTTATGAAATTTAAATGTGATTCGAAGGACAATGGCAATTTTTTCTCGATTTAAAACCATGCTACAGGTTTTATTGTTCTATTAACTGACTGACAATTGAGGTATAGTCATTACAATAGAAGACTTCAGCTATAGCATCTTCATCTAGCATTCTTCAGATACTGTAAAATTTCATGTGATATCTATACTTTTAAATTCATGTCTATCACCATTATAATCATGAAATACAATACCTGTTTATAAATTATGCCAACCATTTTAAAAATATCTGCACACATGTCCTCTCACAATCTTGCAATGCTTCACACAACAGATTTTATATTAAAATATTTCAAGAATTCTTGTTTAATCTTATAGCTGCATCAGGTGCATAGCTAGAGTTTCCAGCACCCGGGGACAACTGAAGAATTTGCACCCCTTTCTGTGTGCCAAGAATGGGAAAACATTTCATTAAAAAATTTCTTAGCATCAAATTGGTGCCCCTTGGATGATGTCCCCCCTTGCTCCATCCTAGCTAAGCCATTGACCTGCATTAATTTTAAAAAGGCTGTTTCATATCCACATTTCAATGTGTGCAGAATTCAGATATCTATAGGTTGAATGATGAAATTCCAGTTTAAAGGGAAGAATAAAATCGAGACGTTATTGATTATTATTAAAAATGTCACTTTAGTAAGATTAATAATAATGGGTGAAACAAAATAATCAGCAGCAACAAATAACACAGTTAAAAACAGCATTATTCCTTTTTTCTATGTCATGCCAACAAAACTAACAAAGAACAATAAAAAGTATCTGCAACATTCCACTCAAAACAAATACAGGCTTTAGGTACTATGTGCTGAACTACACTGATAAGTTAGAAAAAAACTAATTGATAAGTTTTGGAATTCAACTCTTTACTTTTAAATAACATTATTCGTTGTATAAAATGAAATTCATATAATAAAAATACAATTTTTTTTCCAGATTTTGCATTAAAATAAATTTATGTGTAATATCTAGATATTCAAAAGAGCCACCTTACTTTAACAGAAACATGTTTCCATGCTCCAGACTTAGCAGAGCGCACAAGACGACCAAAGCCAGCCATCACTTCTGGCATTTCAGATATTTTAGGAGGTGCAAGTTCAACCTTGGCATATTTAATGAATGTTGCCAACTTGGGTTTTGAACCTTCAACCACACCTATGGAACATATCATTTATATAAATTATAAAAAATGTGACATGAATTTAGTAAATATAATATAATACAAATGACTGAATAAAACTTGGAAGATGTACCAGAAAATGGAAGAAAACTATACACAGTACAAAGTTCGTAATCCGGACTCGTTGGGACTTTGGCCATTCCAGATTATAGATCATCAATTTAAATCTGGTAAGATGGCATGCAGAAATTATACAATTAATAATATGAAATCATAATTTATGAAATAAAGAACAATTATGGTCTAAAGGGTATCAAAATTTACAAAAAAAAAAAAAAAAAAAAAAAAAAAAAAAAAAAAGCTTAATATTTATTTGTTTACTTTAGTAAACATTTCTTTCAATGTAAGTTGTTTAAGATGCTTTCGCAAAAAATTCAAAAAGTTCCTTTTTCTTGTATCATATATGGACTTTCGAATGCCATACTTCTAGCATAATTTTGAGACAGATAGGCCTTTATCCATTTTTTGCAGCAATTCCAACGAGCAATTAAACCACTCTAGCAAAAGATTTTTCAACGTCAACAGGGTTGCCATACAACACGCAATCGTGCCCCAAACCAGCACAGAACACATATCGCCACATTTGGTGATATTAGGGTGCATATAAGAGTAGAGACGAAAACATGAAAAGTTTCATAACTTCGATCAATATTGTGAAATATTATTTCAGATTCTACTTTAGAGATTAAATTTATAAAGGGTATCCCTGTTTGCTTCATTATGACAATTTTTTAATTAGATCTCAACACAACATATATGAAATCTCAAATAAACTAAGGTAGTGATGAGAAAGAAGAAATAATACAGTATTAAAACTCAATTGTTAACATTTTCTGATGATTCTTTATTAGTTGGACTTCTAAGATTAATAAGATTAGATAAGAAATAAATTAATTGCCCTAGTTTTTTAAGGTACTGTTTTGAATGTTTTGTACTCTTGGCTACCCTAAAGGAAAGTCCACGAATAGTTCTCGGGAATATTTTAATTGCCTTTCACAGCCAGAAAATTGTCTCACCATTCAGGATGTTCTCCCCAAAATTTTCTTTCATATTTAAGATTTAGATCATATTTTGAAGTCCCACACCTCTTTCTTTGAAATCAGATCCTTTAAAATACAGAAAAAAATATTCTTACATTTTTCTTTGTTAAGTAAGCAATGCATTTGCATGCGAACTTGAACACCGTTTATGTCAAAGTCTCATGCATGTACGCATAACACACTTTTAAATTTATTGTAACTTAAAACGCATCAATAATATTTTTATAACTTCTGACGTCAATAATTCTACTTATTTTTTAAAATACTTGTAAATCCTTTATTTATTTTTTAGACTATGTAGCTAAACTCGCTAGGTTATATGCAAATCTTTGGGACTCGTTGCAACAATTCATGCGAGATTACAGAAATTAATTATGAAATAGAAAAAAGTAAAGAAATTTTTAGCTTCAATACCTTCTTTTATTATCACAAATAACACTACATAAGCTATTTTGAACAGAGGCATTATAAGATTCAATTGATCTCCTCACAAAATATTAGAAACTAAATTAAGGAGTTACATTAGTAATTAAGGAAATATATTAATATTTGTACCTTTAACCATTAGAGGCAACTTAGTTCCTAAAGATGATACTGCTCTCGCCATTTCAGTACACTATTTATTATTTGAAAAAAGTTAACGAAATAGGAATTGAATTTTAAAGCGAAAATTCGTCGAGGGTCAACCGTACACGGTTAATAATCAAGAACCGGATAATTAGTTTCCAGGCGTCGAAATTTCAAAAATTTCTGATACACAAATATGACTATACTGAATTTCTTATAAAAACCTCATGGTAGTTGCTATTTTAGTATCACTTATAAATAATAACAGCGTCGTCGTAACGGCACCACGCTCTTAATTCGTACTTTATAAAAATTATTTAGATTACATATTAAAATATAAATATATTAACCTACTTCTTTATGGCTTATTAGAACCTATTAGCCTGTTTATAGAATATTAATTGTAATTTAAAGACTCACATAAAAATTTTTTCCGTCGAGTTTGACATATATGATAAAATTTCAAAAGTGAACATGATGCCTGCCTTACACTTCACTCATAGTTTTCTACAACTCAACTCAACAAACTTTATTTGTTAGGCTTTCATAATCAGAGAGTGAATTAGATATTTTTTAGGAATCTAAAAATTATGCTCTTGAAAGAGTAAATATTATTACTGTTTTATGTGCTGGCGATATTAATAGTGTTAAATAATTGAAATTATCTGTAAGCCATCTGAAATGGATGCTAAAGGTAAGAAAATAACGTGGCATTATTGTGTAATGTTATAAACAGTTGGCGATAAAAAATCATGTATTTTTAATATTAATTTGGATAAATATCTGAACTGTGTATTGAAGCTATTTGTGTTTGATTATCACTGAGATCTAAGCTTTTTTTTTTTTTTTTTGATGTTTTGATTTGCAGATATCGTGTAGATTTAAAAATACGAGGAAGTAAAATGGCCGTTTTGTTGATTCAGAAATACTGTGGTATACTGGAAAATTTTCGCCTTAATTGAAATATTTTTTGCGTTCCTCGTACTCTGTTTTTAATATGCATTATCATACATGCTGATGTCTCTTTTACACTTCTAGTATATATACTGATACTTATGCATAGTTGCATATTTACCAGATTTTGTATTTTTGTTAAGGTGTTGTCTACATAAATTTATGTAGGGGCGGGAAGGCATACAAGTATGATTTAAAATAAAATAAAATCTAAGAAAATATTGTTTTTAAGATCGGAGGCATTAGTGATTTAGTTTGAATATGAGTTTAGTCTTAAAACAGCAAATATTGAGTCTGCTGAACTACAGAATTTTTTTTAAATTTGCTTTCTTAATATTAAGTCGCAGATATTATTTTCTCTAATCGCTGTTCTCCATTATTATGAGTTAAAAAGAAGCTGTTGATATCTTATCATGTGTGATTTGGAAAGTGAGAACTGTTTAAAAACTAATGTAGAATGAAGAACAGTAACTGCTGCTGTGTTTGCAGTATGCTACTGTATTTCTGAAACACAGAAAGTTAATAATAAAAGCTATAGGAGAAGAAATGGAAATAAATATATGCCAGTTTAAATTTAGAATGTTTTAAGAAGAAAGATTTTTGAAATGAAGAAAAGTGTGACAAAACCTGTATTTTTGCAAAATGTAGCATATCCCCCCCTCAAAAAAGTGTTGGAAGGACTTCTGCAAAGGATCCGTTAACGTTCAAAGCTGGTAACCCGGTGAATTCGGTTGTCGGAGGTAGCAACTTGGCTCTACAAGCACTTAAAGATTGTGTTCTCGTCTGTTCGGGGCTCCATTTTGCCACTGGCTAGTGGTATGTTACTACCGGGTGAGGTGGTGAAAATACGGTGAGGATGATTGATAACACGGCCATTTAGAGTAGTATGGCTGTGTTATTGTGTAATTCTTAAAATACTTTAAACATGCAGAAACATGGAGTGCCTGACTCCTAAAACATTATGATTAACATGGGTTGCAGTAATTCCTACAAGTGATTAAGACCATTGAATACTGGTTGTTTGATCTGGGTTCATATCATGGTTAAAGGGCTGACTGAATGGTTGATTTTTGTGGTTTTTCTCATATGTAATGCAAATACAAGCTAGTTTCTCTTAGAAAGTTATTCATAAAGGCTTCCTAATTCAGGTCAATAGCCAGTATGCTCTGCCATATTTGAATAACCTAAGAATCTGAAGGCAATTGTAAGCAGGACAATGATTATTCAGCTTCTATCTGTGTGGCAGGAGTATATTTAAAACATGTCAGATCTGTGGGATTCATAACAAAATTAACCAGGTTTTAATCTTGAAAACTTTAAATTTTCCTGATTTTCTTTAAGGCATGGGTTTCACTAACAAGATATTCATACTTTTGTTCAAGTTCACAAGCAGTCGAGCAATATAATTGCTGAATACTGGTAGTTTGACCCAAATTTGAATCTTCAGTATTCAATATCTTGGGCCATCATACTATCATGCCTCTTAAAGTTATTACTGCTTGGCATAATAAGAATCTCACCAGATCATGTTACCCACTTTGTCAAAACTAATATATAAACTGCAGTCTCTCTAAAGACCGTCACTATAACAGAGATTTAAAAAGATCTTTCTTAGAATACAAATAGGTTTGTCAATGTCTGGCAACAATTCATGAACTTTTCACGCAAAGCATTTAAGACTCATTTCAGATGCAGCATTTTGAGAAGTGTTTCATTTCTCTTTTTCATACGTATGGCTGCATCATTCAGAAGAAAATGATGTTTTCATATTTAATTTCATTAGGCCTGTTGAAAAGTCTAGAATACTGAAACTTTTTTTCCCTCATCTGTTATAAGGAGAAATAATTTCAATGATATCCTGGAACTGGAATTATCCTAGGGTACATATTTGTCAACAGCATTGGTTATTTCATAAATGGTAATGAAAATATTGCATTTTCTATTCTCACTTTGGATATTCTAAATTGCACTAATGTATACAGCATCGAATTATGTCGATTTTAAGGTAAATTTAAGCAAGATCATTTCTTACGAGTTTCCAAACATCTTTTCAGAGATGGACTTTCTTCTTTCTAAAGTGAAATGTGTGCGAATGCAAATCATTTGAACTGATTATGGCATGACATATAATCATCACTTTTGGCATTTGTGGTTGGTTCATTATTTTATGGGGACAATTATTAAAGTGTTTTTAATGTGTTATTGAAAATAATTGTAATATATACATTTACAAAACTTTGAATTTAACAGAGATATAAAAGTGAAGCAGCAATTATGTTTCCACTTCTCAACTTTGTTTATATAAAGGAATAATAATAAGTTCAGCAGAGATTTATGCAGACTTTATTTCCAATGTTGTAATTGCTTATTGTAAGTTATTATTAATCTGAGGCAATATTTTTGATTGTATCAGCATCAAACTGAATGTTTCTGCACACCGGTAAAAGACAAGGATTCTTTTCCTGTAGCATAAACAGATCTCCAGCACTTTTTTTTGGGGGAAAAAAAAATCCTTCACAAGATCAATACAGATTTAATAAAAGAGATGTCAAGTATGTTAAGCCTAAATATTACTATATACACTTTAATTTATATGCTTCATGATGTTTAACTGATTAATATTATGATTTTCCTGCTAACTTTAATTTTTACTCATTTAATATGTTTCTTTAATTTACCGTATATACCCGTGCATAAGTCGACCCCCCACTTCAATATAAAAAATTCGTAGAAACTAAGGGTTTATCTTTGGATTATGGTAACTTGGCGATTTTTTGGCGACCAACTCTGCTACAGCAACCCTCTATTTTTTTTTTTTTTTTTCACCACCATTTTATCTTCACGAAGTAAAGACATGTTTCTTTTCTTTTTATTTACTGAACACTTTTTCCAACAATCTACTAGCCGAATTACACTTATGCTAGAAATTTTATGTAACAAAACTGCTTAATCATGACAAATATTAACTGCAAATAGCACATACACATAAACCATTTACACGTCGACTTATTTTTACTTAAAAAAACATCCCAAAATTGCACAAAAATGGCATTGCACACACTCTTAACTTTATCCATCTACACTGCTATTTTCTCATAAATTACAAAAGATGCAAAAAAATTCTGTGAATCTTTAAACTCTGTAAAAAGCACATGTATGAAATTACCTGATCGCGAAAAAGTATATACCCTTTCCAAGGATGAACATTTCCACGTATAAAATAAATAAAATATCCAAAAACTTTTACCTCTAAATTATTATAAACGTCACCAACAAATTTACAACGCAAACATTAAAAATGGTTGCAAATACTTAGTGTCAAATATTTAAATTATTTCCATACACGTTTACTTCAACTGAAACGTATACCAAATTCCTACAAACATAAAATTCACAAAATAACTATCATTTAATTAAAATATCACTAAACCATGTACATGTTGACTTATTTTTACTTAAAAAAAATCCCAGAATTGCACAAAAATGGCATTGCATACACTCTTCACTATATCCATGTACACTGCTTTTTTCTCATAAATTAGAAAAATTTCACGAAAATGCAAGAAAATACTCAACGTATACTACTCAAACGTATTCCAAAATACTACAAACATATAACTCACAAAATCACGATCATTAAATTAAAAAAACACTACTTAAAATATAAATAAGCACACACATTAAATTAATAAAAATTAGATTACAAGCCTAATTACTTTAAACTAAATCATTGCTAATAACAATTTTCCAATAATACCATATTAATTTATTTACTCCTTGCATTTAGAGCAATGCATAAAAATAATATCCTCAAATGATTAAAAATACTAACTTACCTAATCTTCAGAATCTTCATTACGTGCCACGCACACTTCCACACAATGAAGCTTAATACAAAATAATATAGTACTACAGTTTTCCAAATTCCCCCCTTTTTCCGATTAAAGAACTGTAATTCGTCCATTAATGTCACATGACATATCTCATGATCTCTCATTTCTCTCACACAAAATAATGCGTAATCGGAACTGAGTACTTCTCACATTATTACCAAAGTCCTAGGTAGTAACCTTCATTGCCTTCAAAATGTCGCCAAACTACCAGTTACCATATTCCAAAGATCAGCCAAAATAAGAAACCTGCGTATAAGTCGACCCCCACTTCCGAAATCGATCGAGGAACTTCGAAATTTTTTTTTAAGTACTACATTTATTCAGAATCATCTGAGAAGAAAAAGTAAATATACGATAAAAAATACCTTTGTAAATAAACAAAATCAAAATCCTTCAACGTCCGATTCATGGTCAGATTCGCCAAACATTTCATAGAACTCTTCTGTCGTCATTGGCTCGTCATCATACATATTTTCAGTCTCGAACTCTGCATTGTTACAATCACTACTAGAGGCTTCGTCGTCATTTTCACTTTCAAAACCAGCATCATCTTCCGTGCCATCTAGTTCGTTGCTAATACAACATTTTAAAAATGATTTTATAATCATTTCAGAGGGTATTTCGTTCCAAGCATCTTTAACCCACTGAGTTAAAAGAAATATTCAAAACTGATCAGTTATTGCATGGACTATTTTTGTAAATTTTGACGTGTGCGCCTGTTAACAAAAGTATTTCATGAATGAACAATAACTATTATAAAGACTTATACGTACTAAAAAGTATCTGCATTTCTCTTTTCTTGGCAAAACTTTTTTATTGCTCTATATTGATTGGTTGTTCGGGGGCC